ATAACAAAAATCAATGCGAGACTCTCTTAACACTACCCTAAAAAATCTCCATGAAACATACAAACCGACCGACCACACTAGGGCGACGGAATACCACACTCAAAATCGATCGACCATGTCAAGGGCAACCAGATGTCACACTTCAAGCCGACCGACTTCCCAGTGCAAAAACCGACCAACACCAGCTTGATCGATCGACTCAAGAACCCACCGACCGAATGTTCCAGGAAATATCAAAAGATGTTAAATCAGTTACAGATGTGAAAATACGCGACAATTTGATAGTTTAAGAAATCACATGGATTCTTGATTTGTTAATAAAAAAAACTTTTGAATCAGTTATCCAAATTTAAAGTTATGATGAATGATAAATAGTCTAAACAAGTGTTACATTAATCTAAAATATAGAAATGTGAGTATATGACAATATAATAAGATTAATTTATATTTTAAAATTGCTTTCGAGTTTGGCATACATGCATTAACTTTAGTAATTTTCTTAGGCTGGTAGAGATTAGGGAACAGATGAATAAAGCCGAGCCGAGCAAGAATATGCCTGAGATTGATTTGATGATTAATTTTTAGTAGTGTTAATGCTCAATTTGTATTAAATTATAATTACTTGAGCCTGGCTTTTTAACTAATCAAATGATCCTTATAAAGTATTTCAATGAGCAATGCCATCCATCAGCTTGTTAGTTATTTGAACTAGGCTTATCAAATGGACTTATGAGCCACATATTTAGCTTAGAGTTATAACTAAAATAAATAAATTACTAAGGCTCGCCTTGGGATAATTTTCTTTTATGTTTTATTTTTAATATTTTATTTTGTTTATGTTTTGATTTGAACTACAACATCTTTGATTGTGATAGTCGTTTTTTAAATTACTTAAAACATCTTTAAGTGATTTATTTTTAAAGATTTTAAAAAAACATATAATATTATACTAACCAAATACTTTTTTAAATACAAAAGTAAAAACGAAAAGAAAAATTAAAAACAAATGTGATGCCAAACGGGTCTTAAATAACACACTTTTTAACTAGTATTGCGATGAATAACATAAATCTAATATAAACAAACAACCAACTCTCTTGTAATCAAATATTAAATAAATTTGTAACCATTTTAAGTTTTAATCAAATTTCTTAACCATTGAACAATCTTAAATGAAGATTTTCCGGAAGAAAAACACATCAAATACCAAAATAATCATGCTTGTTTATTTATGATTGATTAGTTGTAAGAACATCCATGTTTGTTTGTTTGATTACTTTATTAAATAATCTTGAATGAGTTCTAATTAAGTTGAGTCGTGAATAGCTTGCTGCGTATATTAATTTATTTGTAGCCTTAGTTCAGGTTCATGTAGAGTATGTTAACTAACTCTTTTCTTATATACTATCATTCTACTGCTAATCTCGATTTGATTGTGATCGTCAAAAAGTGATTGTCATTGAACTAGAATGTCGAAATATTGTGTTTGGAACGAGTTGATCGAAATCCAACCTATTATTACCCATGTTAAATCGGTTAATTGATCAAAATTTGGGTCAACTCAATGGCATTAAACACCAATAATAATGAGGAAGAACATATGCTATTGGAATTAAGAAATTAAAAGAAGATCGAGCTTCCTTTTGGCGTAGACATCAATATCTAGATCTTACGAACAATCCAACAAAAATGTTTCATAAATGCTCTCATCATGTTAGATCATAACCTACTTGGAATCAATTAAGCCTCTAATTACTCTAGAGATTAAAATATTAAGAAAGTAAAACGAAGAATAAATAAAATACTGCTCATATCTGTTGCTCGGGAAGAGTGTGATTTCATCAATAGTTTTGGGGGAAAAGTATATAAACATTCCTTAAGAAATTAACCAATGCATGGAGTCAACTTTACTCCATAGTATTTGTGCTTTAATAACCATAATTGCATTTATGCATAAATTGGTAGCCTCAGTGGTTGAGCAAAACAAACATATGCTTGGACGCTCATGGCATTTCCGGTTAAAGAGACATAAAAGCATAAATACAGAAGCAAAATCTTAGAAAAATAATAAATTATGCATTAATTCCAACAATATGAGTTGAGAATGGAATAATAAATGGTGTCATCAATCATCATCATCATTAATTTGAAATACAGAGATAATCTCCCAATCAATCTTATCAAGGAACCCTTTTTGGTGTGGAGCCACAGTGTCAGTTGGGTCACTTTGGAGAATTGTTCATTGCAACTTTAAGACCCGCCCTTGAGCACACTAACCCCCGCTTGCCTGGTTGTCCCAAGGCTTGCCCTTTTTGTTGACGGACACATGGTAAGGATTTACTCATCTCAGTAGTTAAAAGTGCCTTTGAATATATATATATATATATATATTAAATTTATATTTTGATATAAAATTAAAATAGATTTAAGATATTGAATATATATTATTAATTATATTATTATTGAGTTAATATATGTGTATTTTTTGTTTGAAAAGTGCAAAGGTGCCATTGAATGGTTGAAGCCTCCAAGGTATTGATAAACCAAGCAACATTGAGAAGTTGGCCGACCTTAAATATGAGGTTAGCTAGCATCATGAGCTATACCTTTTTTTTTAAAAGTTAGTGAAGATACCAATTTTTTTTTATAAAATACTAATTAAAAAGTTTAGTTCAATTATTTAAAATTTAAAACTATGAACATATAATGATTAAAATCCTAACTAATAGAATTAAAGAGAAATGAGAATTGAGAACCCAAGCAATGGAAGAGTTTTTTTTTTACATGCTTGATTCAAAATCCTACATCTTAAACCCTAAAATAATTGGTTATTATTAACCTAAAATCAATTGGACATGCCAGATGGTCATTCATGTACTTAGATGGCCAACATGAGCAATAAGCCAATATCCCAAACACAAAATTATGATTTTAAAATTTGGCTACAATATTATTAAATTTTTTTGAACTTGATCGATTTATTTTAGTATAACCTATTAGTAATGACATTTTTTGATGATATGCATGTTTTGTTGTCTCTTTTAAGAAAAATTACATAATTCTCACTATCTCAAAAAATCATTTATTCATTTGATAACTTATTTAGTTATTATGCTTTTTCTGAAAGCCTTTTAATAAAACTTTATTTTCTTCCTTTTTTGAAATGTTATTCTTATTAAATTAATTTTTATGTTAAAACAAATTTTTAATAAAGGTTTTATAAAAATTTGTAATCAAATAAAAAACAGTGTGAAAAACTTGAAAATCAAAATTTAGAATACATTGAAATGTATGATACATATGTAAATATCCCATACACATATATTTATAAAGTCAAAAGTAATTAAAATTTAATATTTTTTTTTTGGAAAAATATGCCCAATTCAAAGTAATTTTTCATGATTGATGCGTGCTAGAAAATCCACGGCGGTAGAATAACAAATTATCGTCTTAGCGTAGTACAAAAGTTCAGCACTCACATATGAAATAAAAAAAAATGGTGATGATTCCAGAAGTTTTTACATGGAAAACCCTTCAAAGAGGGAAAAACCACGGAGACTGGCTCAGTTGCGGAAATCCACAATTGATTGATGATTACAGAAATCTCTTCTCCCATAGACGAAAAATAGTAACTATATTTTTCAGATTACAATGTCGACTGACGGCGTTTGGTTGGTGGTGATGGATGACGTTAGGTGGAGATTGACAACGTTCAGCGGTGGACGGCGGGGCGTCGCCGAGCGACGCCGGTGGTAGACGGTGGTCGACGACGGCCAGCGGTGGTTGACGATGGAGGTCGGCAGTGATCGACGACGATTAGTGGTAATGCTGAGCTGCAACTTCTTCTCAAGACCTCAAGCTCTCTTTAGACTTCCTCCCCCTTCATGAGAGAGATGAGGCTTATGGGGCTCTATTTATAGTTTTCTGGGTGCAATTACTACAGGAATATGAATCATTTTGATCGGATGATCCGGATAGCTTCACTCAATCATACAACGTTTACTAGACATTTGAGTGCCTTAATGATGTCAAAATTGAATGATCTTGAGCTCGTTGGATTCTTCTTGTTGAGCCGCTCGATTTGGTATAAACTTGTCATATTTGACAGCCGCTTGACTTTCCAAATGTATTCATAAATCTTCTAACTGTGGTTAAATGACTTGAACTGGGTTTGATTTGACTTGGATTGAGCTGGTTTTCATATTATTAGGCCCGTCTCATTGAACAAATCAGTTTGACTTTGTTTTCTGAAATCGCTGGTTTTCATATTATTAGGCCCGTCTCATTGAACAGATCAGTTTGACTTTATTTTCTAAAATCGGAGCTCTGGATGATTTTTTATCAATATTTAAATATTTCTTATTTAAAATATTATCTCGAGATTTATATCATACCTCAAAATTTATGTTAAATAATAAAAATTTATTGATAGTGTCATAAAAAATTATACTGTCATAATATTTCTTGTTTAAAATATTATCTCGAGATTTGTATCATGCCTTAAAATTTATGTTAAATAATAAAAATTTATTGGTAGTGTCATAAAAAATTATACTGTCATCGTTATATTATCTATAAATACATATTTAAATGCTAATGGTTCAAAATAACAAAAAATAAACAGATGGAAGTTCTCGCAATAAAAAATCAAACCCAACTTGGTCAACACTGAGGCATTGACTAGCTCGATTTGCGTTATTTCTAACCTCGACTTGTCCCGTACTCTTCATCAATAGTTCTACGGTGCCTCCAAACCTTGCCGAGAAAACATTCAATACTTCTCCCATGATTTTCTCTCATCCTTCCCCGTTTCAGTAAATTTCGACTTTTGGATGCCTCAGTGTATCCCGTGCTCCTAGGTAACATTCACCCCCACCCCTGTCTGCTGAAATTTTTTCCGGTTCTACTAAACCGCTGCACAAGTAAAGCGGTCATGCTTTTAATCGGTGACCGCATCAGTAAAGAATTATATCAGTCGCGCACTAGCCGAAGTATACTACCCTTTTATGTCCTGACTCACGGACTGCTGGATCGCTGCGTTGTTGGTTTAAAGTGACCAAAAGAGGAAGCCGAAACTCTTCTCCGCCCGAAGCTCCCGTCCGGTGCCTCAATGGCGGTAACCCTGCATGCTGGAGCTGCGATCTGCTTCTTTCCGGCTTAGAAATTTCTGTCTCAGTGGGAGTTTTCTTTTAAAACACGGCTGGTGTTTTCCCTAACCATAGGCTCGTAGGAGGAACGGGCTCATCTGCGACTTTGTTGTTCGGTGACAATGGCGGAGGTAGCAGAAGGAAAAGTGGCGGGGGAGGGTGAGAAAAAGAAGCTGGAGCAGAGTCTGGCTTACTACGAACTGTTCTCTTTCGCGGACCGATTCGATTTGCTGCTGATGGCCGCCGGAAGCCTCGGCGCAGTGGTGCACGGCTCTGCCATGCCGGTATTTTTCCTCTTTTTTGGAGATCTGGTGAATGGATTTGGAAAGAATCAGACTAATCTCAGCAAAATGACCGATGAAGTGTCTAAGGTTTGTTCCCACTCCTCAGTTCCCGGATCTCCGCATTTATGAATCCTTCTGTTATGCTGCCCTACTTACATTCTTTGCTTTTTAATCTTCTAGTACGCTTTGTGCTTCGTCTATCTCGGGCTAGTTGTGTGCGTTTCTTCGTATGCAGGTAAGAGCCACCCTTGTCTGTTTTTCCCTCCATTAAGCTTTGTTCTAATTGATTTGGTTCATGAGGACGGAGGTAGGTCGAGGAAGACCGAAAGAGCCGTGTCCTCTATCTCCTTCCTCCGTCTCCTTTTCCTCGTTTGCCCCATGGTTTCTACTGCCGTCGCTTTCGCCGTGCGCTTTGGCCTTTTTGTTTTTTTCCGTCTTTGCGGTACTCTCACCAGATTCTCACAGATAGACGCTCCTGTCCGCGATGCTATTGCCTTTTCTACGAATAGTCTTCGGGTGAACTTACCGTTTATTTTTCTCGATGCCTGCAGAGATCGCGTGCTGGATGTATACCGGTGAGAGGCAATCCGGCTCGCTGAGGAGGAAGTATTTGGAGGCTGTGCTGAAGCAGGATGTAGGGTTTTTTGACACCGACGCTCGGACGGGAGATATCGTCTTCAGCGTCTCCACGGATACCCTCCTCGTTCAAGATGCTATTAGCGAGAAGGTAAGCTCACTCCTGTGTTATATTGGCGGAACTGATTGATTTTATTTTCTTTTGACTTAGTGACCTGCTTTCAGGTGGGCAATTTCATTCATTATTTGTCGACCTTCCTCGCTGGCCTTGTGGTGGGCTTCATATCGGCATGGCGGTTGGCTTTGCTGAGTGTGGCGGTGATACCGGGGATTGCCTTTGCTGGCGGGCTTTATGCCTACACCCTAACCGGACTCACCTCAAAGAGCCGGGAGTCATATGCCAATGCTGGAATTATCGCCGAGCAGGCATTGCACTGAAAACTTGAGCCACATTTTCAATTAGTTCTTCACCGATTTGATCAAGTTCTGTTAAATGTTTGGATAGTAGAATGATTAGGGGGGTTTTTTTTTGGGTAGTTTTGGCGAGAGATTTGGTTTTGGTTGCGGTCAGTAAACTTTGTCCGTTCGTTTTTCCTGTTCATTTGTTAGACGATAGTTGCGGGAGACTAATAACGGTGGAAATTATGTATTCACGAACTTTAGATTTTTTTTTTAACGCTAACTTGGATTGGCTGCCTCAAACTGTTGGTAATTGTACGCATTGCTGATTAATAGCCCAATATTTTGCTTTTTTATTACTATTTTGTGGGCTAATATTACTAAGATGAAGAAAATGCGAGTTTCAACAAATAACTTGGCATGTATACTAATTTTTAGTTGGTTTCTGGATATTTGAACAGCATAATGAATTACTTAGATTTTTTTGATGCAAATTGTAACTCCATTAGTGTCTGGAAAGTGTATGGATGGGATAGCTGTACAGTACTGCTTCGATCATCATAGGTGGACAAAGTTCTCTACTAGTCTGTTTATTTTACTTCTCGTCCCCAGTACTGTTGGAATGCACTTTTAAAAGGTTTAACTGATTGGAACTAAAATAGGGAAGCATTCCATTACATTAGACTATCATCCTAGTGACTCGGCAACATTTTCAAAATAGTATTGTTTAACTAAGTTAATGCTATGAAGAGCATATTAAAACATTAGGGGATAATAATAGGGAAACAAAGTTTATGTAATGTTAAAATACCGTCATTAATTTTAAAGTGTGCAAAAACTTGATATATGCCGGCTTACATGTCTCATCTTGAAGCCTTTTCCCTTCTTCTTCTTGGACTGATTTCCTTCCCCTTTTTGGTCTTCTTGGTCTTTTTCTATCTTCCTCCTTGTAGTGACCTCTCCCCTCTACAAGCCTATCTTCTTCCCTTGTAGTAAACTCCTCTTTATTTCCTATAAGCCTCTCTAATCTATTTATAGATGATGCCCCCCCAAGTAGACCACAGAAGCTCACAGGGAAATCATAAATAAGCCATCGCCTTTGATTAATCAATTGAGAGTCATATATAACAGAAGCATTCCATTACATTAGATTACCGTCCTAGTGACTTGGCAACATTTTCATAACAGATTGTTGAGTTTTCTCACGATAAATTTTTTGTCTTGTTTAACTAAGTTAATGCTATGAAGAGCATATTAAAACATTAGGGGATAATAATAGGGAAACAAAGTTTATGTAATGTTAAAATACCGTCATGCATTTTAAAGTGTGCAAAAGTTTGATATATGGAATGCATTTTTATAAGGTTTAACTGATTGGAACTAAAATAGGGAAGCATTCCATTACATTAGATTACCGTCCTAGTGACTCGGCAACATTTTCGAAATAGAATTTTTGAGTTTCCTCACGATAAATTTTTTGTCTTGTTTAACTAAGTTAATTCTATGAAAAGCATATTAAAACTTTAGGGGATAATAATAGGGAAACAAAGTTTATGTAATGTTAAAATACCGTCCTTAATTTTAAAGTGTGCAAAAACTTGATATATGCCAGCTTACATGTCTCAGAGTTCCTCTTGGTAGCGTAACTGCTACCCAGAGATTTCTTATTATTACACAATATTTTCTTGAATTTATCTGCTGGAATATGTTTATATTTTCTTGAATATCTTCAGACATATATTATCTTACCTAGGATTTATAATGAATTTTGAATGTTGTGATAGACAGAAACACTCATGGATGCACACTTGTAGGCTATACAAGAACATATGTATACATCTATGTGCCGTGGATTATAATAAAACAGGACGTGAAACCAATCTTATGATTTTAATTTTGTTCTTCAAAGTAATGATGCATATCTTCCATCAATGCTGTTGTTTGTTGTGATATTTTCCCATTTCCTTTGAAGGCATACTTTTTTATGGATTGTGGCGGGGCTACTTGATTTGCACAGAACTTAGTGTTGACTTGGGTTTAATATCTTTGTGTTATAGTGCCTGTATCTGCTAATCAAGTTTGAGTCATAGCCAATTTCCTATGGTTTCTAATTTTTCTTTTTGGACTTATAAATGATTCCTATTGTTCGTGAACAATGCAAGCAACAATGACCTCCTTGACCAATTTTACTTTGTTGATATGTAGTGATGTTAATAGAAAAGTTCATGCTATTACATTTCATGTTTTAGTATATCCATTGATAAATTGTAGTTCAACATTGCTGAGGTATTGAAATTTAATATGGGTATTAAACACACTTTTGTCTTATAAATTTATGGTAGACCTTGAAAACATTTCCAGAAGCTTAATTTCTTTTAAACACATTCCCTCTTCTATATGGTTGCTCAAATTGTTATAAGATCATTCCAGCTACCCGATTAATTTTTAATCTTATCTATTAATGTATCCCTTATCAATTTAACTCATGATATTCCCTGTTGTGGGTTTTGTTGATATTAGGAAATACAAATAATATTAACTAATAACATTTGCTTTTTTGTTATGTTTGAATTATGAACTTTCATTCCTCTTAATGTGTTTTGGGGTTGTGTTTTTTGATGTAGACGTGTGAATTTTTATGTTTTATTTTTTTTTTAATTTATTTTTTCTGGTGGCTCACAGGCTATTGCTCAAGTAAGGACCGTATACTCATTTACTGGGGAGAGTAGGACACTAAATGCTTACTCGGAAGCAATACAGTATACACTTAAACTGGGCTATAAGGCAGGGATGGCAAAAGGCTTGGGGATTGGGTGCACATATGGAATTGCTTGTATGTCATGGGCGTTAGTGTTTTGGTACGCTGGTGTTTTTATCCGGAATGGACAGACTGATGGAGGAAAGGCTTTTACAGCAATATTTTCTGCTATCGTTGGTGGAATGTATGCCCCTTAATGTTCTTATTATTGCAATTCTTCTGCACTTCCAATCCTCCTTTCGTACACATTTATTATGCATGAATCGCAAAATCAATAGCTATTTCTCACTATTCTTTTGGAATTTATATCTACTGCAGCCTCTAAACATTGTTTATATGGAATGTATTTTATGTGCTAATTTTAGTTGGCTGATTAATTAAGCTCATAAAACATTAAACTAATGCTTCTCTTATAAACTTTTATGAATCCTGTTTCTGTTGGCATTTTCACTTTTTAATTAATCAAAACATTAAACATTTTAATACTATTATTTTATTCCAATCATTTTAGTGAGAAATACTCGTGCTAACACAGGAGCTTGGGTCAGTCATTTTCAAATCTTGGAGCATTTAGTAAAGGGAGAGCTGCAGGCTACAAACTACTGGAGATAATTCGGCAGAAGCCTTCTATCATTCAAGATCTTACAGATGGAAAATTTTTGGATGAGGTTCATGGAAATATAGAATTTAAAGATGTCACATTCAGTTATCCATCACGGCCTGATGTTATTATCTTTAGGGATTTTTCTCTTTTCTTCCCTGCCGGGAGGACAGTTGCTGTTGTTGGAGGTAGTGGATCGGGTAAGAGTACAGTTGTTTCTTTGATCGAAAGGTTCTATGATCCCAACCAAGGTAATATGATATCCCCGTCATTTATAAATCATCTCAGATCTGGTACTGTATTGTAAAGTCTGTTTCTACTGCAGGGCAAATTTTGCTTGATAATGTGGACATAAGAATACTGCAATTGAGATGGCTTAGGGACCAAATTGGTTTGGTCAACCAAGAACCTGCATTGTTCGCAACTACCATACTGGAAAACATACTCTATGGGAAATCAGATGCAACAATTGTTGAAGTTGAGCAAGCTGCAACCGCGGCAAATGCTCATAGTTTTATCGCACTGCTTCCAAATGGCTACAATACCCAGGTTAGTGCTGACATATCTTTAACAGTTTAATTTCTTTTAAAGATATATTAACAGCTTGGAGCTTATTTGTCAACGCTACAGAAATTTATCTATTAGTAGGCTTCACAGCTTTACTATTTCTGATCAAAACCAGATAATCTTACAAGGTGAAGTTCATGTAATCATAGCTAGTGCTATAAATGAATGGAAGGTTCTCTAGTTCCTAATGGCATCCTACCAGTTATTAAAGAAGAAATCCACTCAATTTTATGAACATGTGATTTGATGCTGATCATAAATTGTGGTTATCCTAATTTTCTCTACTCAGAGCATTACCTCGTGGTTAATAATTCGACGAAGGAAGTTTTTTTATAGGCTTGCCGTCAAGGATTTTCATACTAATTGTGTCGGTGATTATTTTTATTTGTCTATTGGATTCAAATTAAAGTAAAAAGTACTTGTAACGGTCTCTATTCCAATATAGGTGGGAGAAAGGGGAGTTCAGCTATCTGGTGGCCAGAAACAGAGAATTGCTATTGCACGTGCCATGTTAAAAAATCCCAAGATTCTCCTTCTTGATGAAGCCACCAGTGCCCTTGATTCTGGCTCGGAGAGCATCGTCCAAGAAGCACTAGATCGCCTCATGGTTGGTAGAACTACAGTGGTTGTCGCTCACCGACTTTCAACCATAAGAAATGTTGATACGATAGCCGTCATCCAACAAGGACAAGTTGTTGAAACTGGAACGCATGAAGAATTGATTGCTAAGGGAAGCACTGGCGTGTATGCCTCTTTAATTCGTTTTCAAGAGATGGCAAGGAACAGGGACTTTGGTGCTCCATCTACTCGTAGGTCTCGCTCATCACGCCTGAGCCATTCTCTTTCTACCAAATCTATCAGTCTGCGCTCTGGAAGTCTGAGGAACTTGAGCTATCAGTACAGCAGTGGAGCTGATGGCCGCATAGAGATGGTTTCTAATGCAGACAATGATCGCAAGTATCCAGCTCCTGATGGATATTTCTTCAAGCTTCTGAAATTAAATGCTCCTGAATGGCCTTATGCCATCTTGGGAGCTGTTGGTTCAATTCTCTCTGGGTTCATAGGTCCAACATTTGCAATAGTGATGAGCAATATGATAGAAGTGTTCTATTATCCTGATCCCAATACAATGGAGAGGAAGACTAGGGAGTACGTCTTCATATATATTGGAGCAGGACTTTATGCAGTTGTTGCTTATCTTGTTCAGCATTACTTCTTTAGTATTATGGGGGAAAACCTCACCACTAGGGTTAGGAGAATGATGCTTGCTGGTAATTAGGATATCCCTTTATCTTCATTTCTTCTGTCTTAGTTCTTTTGAAACTAGTAAGGCTCAAACAGTATTGTGATTGCAGCTATCCTAAGAAATGAAGTTGGATGGTTTGATGAAGAGGAGAACAATTCCAGCCTTGTTGCTGCTCGTTTGGCCACTGATGCAGCTGACGTGAAGTCTGCAATTGCAGAGAGGATTTCCGTGATACTTCAAAACATGACCTCACTCCTCACATCCTTCATTATCGGGTTCATTGTTGAATGGAGAGTGGCGCTCCTCATTCTTGCAACCTTCCCTCTCATTGTCCTTGCTAACTTTGCACAGGCACGAAAATCTTATCTCTTTTAATTCATTTGAATTTTTTTTTTCTATTTTTTGAGCATGAGAATGAGATTTTTTTGGAATAATTTATGTTTTGGTCATTAGCATTTTGATTTAATGGTTTACTCTAGTATAACCTCAAAAAGACGAGAGGCTTGGTAAAAAAGGACTTAAATGTCTTTTATTGTGGGGCATATCTACTTGGGTTTTGTGCTGCTGTTTTCATGATAGGCAAGCCTTGAGTCTTATTCTGTCAATAAACTTACCTGTTTTGTAACAATGCTTTTATTTTCTCCGTGCTATTGGTTCAACTGGCTCGAACTCAATACCTACGTGAGAGAAACTATCTTCTCGAATCCCTTCACGGGCCATTCGTTCAGATACATGCATTCCTTAGGGTTCTTTGTTATTACACTGCAGCTGTCTCAGTGCAGCAGATAATAAACAAGTTGAGGCCCACCCAAAGTTCCAGTATTCTGTCTTTTTATAAGATTTGTGCTCCCGTGTAGAATTCTGAGTTTGAAAAGCATGAGAGCAAGTAAAAAGTGTTGAACACAAGTGGGGAATACTTCCAGGATGTGTCCAAATGTAGCCCTTCTTTTTTTATCCTTTGGCCTTAGAAAAGGTCACATGCTGGCTCAGAGATACTTTTTTGTAACTCCTTGAACTAACTTTTAGAAAAGTTTACTGTGTCCTGCTAATTATTTACTATTGTCTGTTTCCATCTGAGCGGTACAGAACAGTTTTGTGCCTTCACTTTATTGAAGTCTCTTCGCTCAATTAGTGGTATGGATTTCTGTAGTATAATTTTGGCGATAGTAGCACTGTATACCTTTTTTCTTGCTAGATTAGGCTATATTGACTGGTTAAATTAATTTTTCTGATCCAAGCTATATATGCATAAGCCATTCTACCATAGGAGTACGATTATTTTTATAATGGAGGAACTAGTATGAACACCATTCTTCAAGCTTTACAGGGATTATTATGCTTATCAAAAGTTCGTAGTTCTTTTCCAGGTACAAACCACCGAGATTATGCAATATATTCAATTATTAATTGTTGTTTCATTTAATGTTTTCTCAGAATTTAACTTCCTGAGCGTTTACCACCCGCATATACTTCTTGCTTTTTCTTAATAAAAGCTTCATTTAAACACCTAGATCTGTTATGCGATTAAAATGACACAATATTGTTGTTTATTCTTGAGCAATGGCATGCGATTATACTGACTGAGGTTGGGACAAATGCTTCAGCAACTTTCCTTGAAAGGTTTTGCCGGGGACACGGCAAAGGCACATGCCAAGACCAGCATGATTGCAGGGGAAGGTGTGAGCAACATTCGTACAGTTGCAGCTTTCAACGCCCAAAATAAGATATTATCCCTCTTCCGGCTAGAGCTCCGAATTCCCCAGCGCCACAGCCTCGGCCGCAGCCAGACTTCTGGTTTTTTCTTTGGTCTTTCTCAGCTCGCACTTTATGCCTCTGAGGCCCTCATACTTTGGTATGGTGCACATCTTGTGCGGTCAGGAGCTTCTACTTTCTCCCGTGTCATAAAGGTCTTTGTTGTTCTCGTTGTCACTGCCAATTCTGTTGCTGAGACTGTAAGCCTTGCTCCTGAAATTGTCCGTGGCGGAGAGTCCATTCGCTCGGTCTTCTCCATCCTGAATCGCAGCACTCGCATTGATTCTGATGACCCTGATGCAGAGTCAGTGGATTCCATTCGCGGGGAAATCGAAATCCGGCATGTTGATTTTGCTTACCCATCCAGACCAGAGATCCCCATCTTTAAAGACCTAAACATCCGAATTCGTGCAGGCCAAAGTCAGGCCCTTGTTGGTGCTAGTGGGTCTGGTAAGAGCTCTGTCATTGCACTCATTGAACGATTTTATGATCCTACATCAGGGAAGGTCATGATTGATGGTAAGGACATCCGTAGATTAAACCTCAAGTCCCTGAGAATGAAGATCGGACTCGTGCAGCAAGAGCCTGTGCTGTTCGCAGCATCCATCTTTGATAACATAGCATATGGAAAAGACAATACATCAGAGGAAGAAATCATAGAAGCTGCACGAGCGGCGAATGCTCATGGTTTTGTTAGTGAGCTTCCGGATGGGTACAGGACGCCGGTTGGCGAGAGGGGCGTGCAGCTATCAGGGGGACAGAAGCAGAGGATTGCAATCGCAAGAGCAGTGCTCAAGGATCCAGCAGTGTTGTTGCTGGACGAGGCAACAAGTGCTTTGGATGCTGAATCTGAGTGTGTATTGCAGGAAGCCCTGGACAGGCTGATGAGGGGACGCACAACGGTGCTGGTTGCACATCGCTTGTCAACAATCCGAGGAGTCGACTGCATTGGGGTGGTGCAGGAAGGTCGAATCATTGAGATTGGGAGCCATGCTGAACTTGTGGCAAGGCCAGATGGGGCGTACTCTCGGCTTCTGCAGCTGCAGCATCATCGTATTTGATATGTATTTGATCTTTTGGACTGGTGCTCCGTATCTGGATTAGGTTTTTATTCATGGGATTTGGTTTTTGGATGAAACTGACCAGATTTTTTTAGTGGAATATGATTAGAGATGCAGTTTGGGCTTTGGAAAGAAGGGAGTTTAGCGAAGCTTAAAATCGTCGTTCAACTGGAATGAGCTTCTTTAGAATCACTCACTTCAATGCTCTTACAATGTATTATATAATGTATGAACCTTGGCTTTGGTCCTTTTGTGATGAAGCAAATGGTTTTCTTATGCTCTAGTGAGTTTTCTACGATTACTGGTTTTTTTTTTTTTTTTGCATTATTTGATTTTTAATTGGTTTCATGCATGATTGGTGTACATATTTTAGGATTGATTTCGCGGTTGATGGTGCGCCGTTTGGTTATTATTGTGGTCAGATTAAGCTTATCCTGATTATCGATAAAAGGATGCTGAAAAGTTGTGGTTTAATTCTAAAGCAGACATGTTAACGTTAAATTTAGTAGCTAATACTATCATTTTACTGTTAAATAGCTGGGTTTGCTCGAAGTAGGCTAAAGCAAAGGGATTTTCAAGTCCATTATGGTTATGGATATGGTTTTTGGATCAGTGAGGAATAGAATAACTGGACAACAACGCAAGCTTAGCAAATTGGAGTCCAGTGATTTTGATCTGAGCTTCTGGCTTGCAACAGTTCATTGCTTTGTAATTATTCAACCTGTGGATGTTGATTGATTTATTATTGTTTTCGAAAAACGCCAAAAAATCTTCTTATAGATGTAGATCAAGTTTGAAAAGAGCGAGAGAGAGTAGTCGGTGAAATTTAACTCATACTAGTTTTATGTGCTTTACCAACCAAACTATATAATTGAATCTAGGTTGATATAGTGAGTTCTCCGAGTTTAAGCCTCCGGTCAGTCTGAGAGTATTTGAGGTGAATTTAGTAACTTAGCTTTGGAGGGTCAAATTATGTTTAATTTGTGAGCAATATGTGTGATTTGGCTTTGGGCGGCTTAAGAGATTAGACGACTTTTGGCTTGATTCATAATTATAACTCAGTTTAGCCAAGTCCCATAATCTCATTATAATTTGATACTTAAATTCAAATCAATATGAATGTACAAATGTAATAATTAAGACCCAAATAGATATCATTATCATAACTAGGATGCAGAACCATCGATGTGCCAGTCTTTTGCTTAGGGTAGCTTCTATATTAAATGTATAAAATTTCTTTATGAAAACTTTTGTTTTTTTTAATTTTTTTTTCTTTTGAAAATTTTGGCAGTATGTTTATATTTATAACAAATCTTTATTTACATCACTTGGTTAGATATTTCATAAGTAAATTTAACGTTTTGAATTTTAAAAAATAAATAATATGCATTTTTTTTCTCAATTCTAACAGAATTTTGTTTATTAATGCAAGTATCGTCAATGTCCAATTGCTTCTGCACCCTATATCACTTCTGCTATTATCACTCTTTTATTAGAGGACACATCAGATTGAATTTTATCACAAACGTACACCACAAATAAGATTTTGAATTCAGAATCACTTGCAAATGTATGTCTCGCTCGCCGTGACTTTTGTAGTGCAACTTAATGTAAGTCTCCTGGGGTCACGGGTTCGATCTCACCTGAGTGCATCTGCCTTCCAATGAATGATCGAGTGGTTAGACACATGAGAGTGGTCAGGGGCTTGGGGTTCGATCTCACCTGAGTGCATCTGCCTTCCAATAAATGATCGAGTGGTTAGACACATGAGAGTGGCCAGGGGCTTGTATCATAGCCCCCGACCATTTTTTTTATAATATATATATATATAATACTTTTTTTCTAGAGTCATTTAGAACTTGATCATGATTTTAGGTCCTCAATCATCTCGAACTAAAAAATTCAACAAAGCAATCATTAGAAAAATAAGGTGAAAAAAAAAATCCCATGCTCATGAGCACATCCCTTTTTCAAAACTTTATCAAGCGTTCTTGATAATTTTTTCAAAAAGCGATCAATATAAAATTAAAACAAATTTATTCTTGAGATTCCTTGTAAATTAATCCTAAGGAGGGTCCCTTCTCTGCATAAAACTTGCAGAATTCATTTTTGGTTCATGGAGTGTATTCTTCAATTTGTAGAAACGTGACGTGAGGCTTCCGCTTCCCTAAGCTTATGGCTTACTTCACATCTTTACTTTATTGACTCAATCGTCGCTGTTGTTATTACAGTTTCTTTACATTGATAGAATCTATCGCTGTTGATTTTCCGAGCCAAACTTCAGACACCAATAAAAATGGAGGATTTTTTTAGTACTTAACACTCGTATCATTTCTGATTTTTTTTAATATATAAACAAATACAAATTATAACTGCACCAGTTACTTTTTTTGGAAAATAAAAACCGACCGTTATTACAGTTTCTTTACATTGATAGAATCTATCGTTGTTGATTTTCCGAGCTAAACTTCAGACACCAATAAAAATGAAGGATTTTTTTAGTACTTAACACTCGTATCATTTTCTGATTTTTTTTAATATATAAACAAATACAAATTATAACTGCACAATAACTGCACCAGTTACTTTTTTTGGAAAATAAAAACCAACCACATAACTGCACCACTAACTTTACTCAAATGACTGTTTTCCTAACCGCCTAAAATATGAAAAACGTGCAAAAACATAAACAATTTATGGAGACAACTAGATTAACTCAACAATCTCCTCCTTAAGTTTGTTGTCCTTCACTGACGATTCACACACCAATTTTTCCTCTCATCTCCAAGAACTTCAATCTTGTAAGTGACTTCGTCAGAATATCAGCACACGCAAATATGTTGAATTTCAATCATTCTAGATTCAACAATCATTCCGAATTTCAATCATTCCAGATTCAACACAATCTCTAATGTAGTGGAATCGGGTATCAATATGTTTGCTTCTCTCATGGTAAACTGAATTCTTGCTCAATGCAATTGCGGACTGATTATCAATCTTCAAAACTACTTTCTTAACTTCGATTTTTAACAAATCTGTCAATAGTCGTCCCAACCACACTCCCTGACATGCTGCTGCACAGGCAGTGATGTACTCCGCTTCACAGGAAGATAACGCAATTACTTTCTGTTTTTGTGAACACCAACTAATAGGACTTGACCCAAGAAAAAATATTAAACCTTAGGTACTTTTCCGGTCATTAGTATCACCAGCTATATCACTATCTGAGTAACAGATCAACTCCGAGCTTCCTTTCTTCTTCTCATAAACACAACCGAGGTTTAAAGTTCCTTTCACGTACCGCAATTTGTGCTTCAGTGCGGCCATGTGCTCTGTTGTGGGTTTTTCCATGTATCTACTCGCCATGCCAACAGAGAAGGCCAAATCTGGGCGCGTGTGCAGTAGATATCTTAAACTGCCAACAATACTTCGGTACAAAGTTGTTTCTACATGTGGACTTGTAATTTCCTTATTCAGTTTTAGACGAGGTTCCATCGGAATTTGCGAAGGGTTGCAATCTTTC